AGGGTGTTTGATCTCTTTTGAGCTTCCACTTCCTGTGTAGAACTTCTCTCTGTTCCATGTGCTCTGGCCCTGGGTGCTGGATTACGCAGTGGCGGCCCCACAGGGTATGTGTTTTCTGTCGAGTCTCTACCTCCCTATCCAGACGTTTTCCCGCTCTGTGCACACTAGGTGGGACTGTTGGACCTTGCAGAGGCGGCCCGCAGGGTGTGTGTTTTCTGCCGAGTCTCCACCTCCTTAGGCGGACGCCTCCCCACTCTGTGCACTCAGTACTGGGCTGGGGTGTGTCTTCTGCAACCCTCATCTATCAGCCGGGACTTCAAGCCCCTGCTTGGCATCGCCCCACCCAGGAAGACTTTCAGGTTTCTACTAGGCGCAGACTGCCATTCGCTCTGGGTGCCTTTGTAGCACTGAGTGGGGCTTTCTCTGGACTTGTCACCTTCCTCCTGGTATTGCGGTTATCTGTGTAGTTGCCTTGTCTCCCACACCAGGGCATGAGCTTCTCGGGGGAGGAGCCCGCTGCACACAGTTCCTCTTTGAATCCCCCCGGCACGGACCGACTCTGGCGCCCGCCCGTAGTCAGCTCTCTGGCAGGTTCAAGCGAGCTCGGGAGTGCTCCGGCCACACCTCTCCCAACCAGAAATCGGTTAGGCGTTCTTCCGAACTTATGGCCACAGAGATGGTATCTGCCTCCCGGAAATAGGAAGTTTACCTGAGGTCGGAGCCCTGGGTGCAGTGGAGTGACAGTCGGGCTGGCCTCCTCTTCCCTGCCCTCCCGACGCTGCCCGGGGGCTCCTCACACCACCAGCCCTGCCAGAGATCCACAGGGGGAGTGGGATGGGAGGCCAGTCTACAGGCCCCGGAAGGCCCCGCGCTGGGGCAAGCAAGTGGCAAGGCTCAGTGAGGAGCTGCGCCGAGCAGGAGGGCAGGCCTGGCTGAGCCAGCCGGCTCCGCCCCCACCCAAGAAAATGGAGGCAGCCCTTTTGCCAGTGACTGGTCTGCTGTGGCCGGCAGAAGCCGGGCGGGCGTCTGCCCCTCAAGCAGGGCCGGGCTGAGGGTCACTCACAGAGCTGGGCCGGCCATGCGGCTTCCTCTCTGTTTCCGCATCATTGCCGTCGCCTCGGGCTGCTCACTCGGTCTCGCGGCACGGCTCAGGTGCTCTCAGGAATTTTCTTTTGTGTCGGCCCTAAACCTCGAATCTGTAGTTGCTTTTTTATCGTTGTAGTTTAGTTGATCAACGACTTATTCATTTTTTGTTGCTCTTGGAAATGCAAATAGCACTCTAGCAGCACAGCGCACACTTCTCAGGCTCACGCTGTCTTCTGGCGTCCCCGCTCCAGACCCGTCACCATCTTGGTACCCCTCCCCTCCTGTCAAACATTTAAAGAAGAACTGATACCAGTCTCCTCAAACTCTTCTAAAAAATTGAAGAGGATGAAATAATTCCAAACTTATTTTACAAGGCCAGCATTACCCTGATACGAAAGCCAGACAAGGACACTAGAAGAAAATAAGATTATAGGCCAGTATCCCTGATGAACATAAATGTAAAAATTGTCAATAAAATATTAGCACACTGGATTTAACAGCACATTAAGATCATTCCCCATGATCATGTGGGATTTATCCCTGGGATGCAAGGATGGTTCAACATATTCAAATCAGTAAATGTAATATACCACACTAACAGAATGAAGGAGTAAAACTGTATGATCTTCCAAAAAGGTACAGAAAAAGAAAAATGTTGACAAAATTCAGTACTTTTTCATTATAAAAACCCTCAGCAAATTAGATATATAATGAAATTACCTCAGCACAATAAAGGACATATATGACAAGCCCACAGCTAGCATCATACTCAACAGTAAAAAGTTGCAAGATTTTCCTTTAAGATCAGTAATAAGACGAGAATACTCACTCTCACCACTTCTATTCAATGTAATAGTGGAAGTCCTTGCCAGAGCAAATAGGCAAGAAAAAGAAACAATAGGCATCCACATAGAAAAGGAAAAAGTGAAATTTTTTCTGTTTTCTGATGACATGATCTTATGTATATGAGGTCTTCAAAAAATACCACGTAAACATTTGTATTAATTTTTTTTTTCTTATTCTACTGTCTTTTTTTTTTTGTCATTTCTCTTTTTTGGTGTTGCTGTTGTATTAACATTTAAATCCATTTTTCTACAAACTTTTTGAAGTATCCTCATATAGAAAACCTTAAAGACTCCACCAAAAAACCCTTTCAGAACTAGTAAATGAATTCACTAAAGTTGCAGGATATGAAATCAACATTGAAAAACCAGTAGCATTTTTTTCATTTTAAAAAAATTTTAAATGACTTTATTTTTTTAGATTTTAATTCATCAATATACAATGTAGTTGGTTTTTGTGTCCCTTTACCAATTTCTCCTTTTCCTCCCTCCCTCCCCCGCCCCCCCCATCAACATCATATCCATTCACTTGTCTTAACATGTTCAAGGAATTATTGTGATTGTTGTCTCTTCTCCCCCACCTCCTTATTTGTTTGCATATTTATTTATTTTTATTAGTTCCCACAAATAAGTGAGATCATATGGTATTTCCCTTTCTGTGACTGGCTTATTTTACTTAATATAATTGTCTCTAAGTCCATCTATGTTGCTGCGAATGGTAGTATTTCATTCTTTTTTATAGCAGAGTAGTATTCTATTGTGTAGATATAGCACAGTTTCCTTATCCACTCATCTGATGATGGACATTTAGGCTGGTTCCAACTCTTGGCTATTGTAAATAGCACTGCAATAAACATGGGAGTACAGGTATCCCTTTGGCATGATGATTTCCATACCTCTGGGTATATACCCAGCAGTGGAATAGCAGGGTCATATGGTAGATCTATCTATGATTGTTTGAGAAACCTCCATACCATCTTCCATAAAGGCTGCACCATTTTGCAGTCCCTCCAACAGTGTAGGAGGGTTCCTTTTTCTCCACATCCTCACCAGCATTTATCATTCTCAGTCTTTTGGATGTTAGCCATCCTAACTGGAGTGAGATGGTATCTCAAAGTGGTATTGGTTTGCATTTCCCAAATGCTGAGTGATGTTGAGCATTTTTACAAGTGTCTTTGGCCATGCATATATCTTCCTTTGAGAAATGCCTGTTCAGCTCCTTTGTCCCTTTTTTAATTGGGTTACTTGTTTTTTTTGCTGTTAAGTTGTTTCAGTTCCTTGTATATTCTAGATATTAATCCTTTGTCAGGTGTATATTTTGCAAATATTTTCTCCCACTCTGTTGGTTGTCTTTTCACTCTGATAATTCTTTATTTTGCTGTGCAGAAGCTTTATAGTTTGATATAATCCCATTT